CATTTATTTTTTGTTTTGCCTTGTCCATATTTTTCTTATAACAGAGATGAAATTATTGAAATTGATTCTGTTCTTTGTTGTTATTTTATTTATCTGTATAAGATTCTAGTAATTATATTTTGAATATATATATATATATATATATATACATATATATATAATTTTATAGGCGTATCCCCGCCGTGTCCGTATCCTATTTTTTTGAAATTTGTCGTGTCGCCGTATCCGTGTCGTGTCGTACCCGTGTTCCGTATCCGTGTCCGTGCTTCATAGGTGAAAATGAATCCCATACGAGAATTCAGGCTCAAAACAAGGCATTGAGTAGTAACTTTCATTAATTGCACAATGACCCCTCCAAAAAGTGAAAACTGCGAAACTGCCCCAGAATGAAAATATCTTCCAAAAGATATTTTCTTAGATACCCCTGAAATAAAATATCTTCAAAAGATATTTATGAAAAACACCCCAAGAAAAGAAAAAGTTTCAAAGAACTTTGCATTTATGCCCCTATGGACACCGGGAGCAACCATAGTACTTTCTCATGAAAGTAAAGATACGTATCTCATAGAAATCATTGGGAATGAAGATACGTGAAGTCAGAAACCAACTCCGAACACAAGAAGTGTGGTTACGCAAACGAAGTGACAAACGAGGAAAAGACGAATTAGGGAAAAAGACAAAATAGGGAAAAGACAAAAAGTGAAAAGTGTCGAAAAACGAAAAATACGGAATTGACTCGGTCCTCAAAAGAAGTTGTCAATCCACAGAAAAGAGTCTCGAAAATTACTCCAGAGCACTCGAGACGACACTAATCCACAAGAAACCAAACTCAGAAGGGAAAAGACAACGGAAAAAATTTATCCTAAAAATCCGGGTCATTACACCGTCGAATTAGGCTTTCTATCTGGTTCTTCAAGTCGAAGCAATTATCGGTATTATGCCCATGGTCTCTATGGAACCGGCAATACTTGTCCCTAGATCTTCTCGTTGGATTTGACTTCAACTTGGGGGGCCATTTCAAGGAGTGGTCATCTTGGATCTGCAGGAAGATTTGGCTGATCAGGGTGTTCAAAGGAGTAAAGTTAGTGTAGCTTTCTTGCCCCCGGGTGCTTTAGGGGGCCTGTCATTGGTAGGCTTTCTGAACTTAGTGTCTCTCTCGTCTTTGGAGCTAGCAGCTGGCCTTTTCTTATCTCTTTTCTTGTCGTCGACTCCTTTGCCCTTTCTTGAATTCATGGCATTTTCAGTATTCATATGTTTCTGGGCCTTTATCAATAATTCTGCCATGCTATTTGGTGGGTCTTTTGACAAGGAAAATAGGAACTTGGAGGATTGTAGACCTCCCATAAAGGCTATAAGAGCAACTTTATCATCCACCTCGTCGACCTGCAACATCTCTGTATTAAACCGACTAATATAATCACGCAACGACTCCCCTTTGTCTTGCTTAACATTCAACAGATAAGTAGCTGGTTTTCGATGTCTCCTCCCTGCAATAAAATGCCTTATGAACTACTTACTGAGTTCATCAAAGTCGTTAATAGATCCTGGCTTTAATTTATTAAACCAAACCCGGGCTGACCCTTTGAGTGTCGTGGGGAAAGCCCTGCACATGATCTCATCTGGAATGGCCTGCAAGTTCACGAGGGACTTGAAAGTTTCTAAGTGGTCGAGGGGGTCGCGCGTTCCATCAAAACTATCAAGATGAGGCATCTTGAATTTTATTGGTAATGGGAGGGCCATGATATGAGGACTAAAAGGTAAATTCGTCTTTTGAACTAGGTCATCAATTGTGGCGGAACCTTTTCCTTTTAGGGCTTGGGCCATTCCTTCCACTTTCGATTTGAGATCCTGGATCTGCTGATTGACGTAAGTTGCTTCAGTGTGTTCTCCGACATCAGACATATCTCTGGAACGAGGTGTGGAAGTGCGCAAGTCTCTCTGTCGACCTCCCGCTTGACTATAGTCTACTCTGTCGCTGTCATCGTTACCTTTAGAGGATACTACAGGGATGGCCAAGTGTTGCATGATTGCTGTGTTTTGCTGGACCAACTGATTCATACCTTGAGTAAGGTTCTGAACCTGTTGTTCTAACGCGACAATCTTCCCATCGTTTAGAACCCGCCTAGAGGCGTTCCCTTGACGGGATACATGCTCGGACTGATCTTCTCTCGTGCGAGACTGACTAACGTGAGGTCTGTCATTCCTGTGATGAGGTTGATTATCATCATGATGCGATTGATGACCATCGTTGTGACGCGACTGGTTCTCATCGTCATGTGGTTGACAGCTACTGTCATCTCCATGTTGTGATTGATTTGCGCCTTGATGCTGGTTACCATCACTATGCTGTGATTGATTTGCGCCTTGACGCTGTTGATGGTGGCTGCTACCACCATCCTGTGATTGACTTTTGCTGTCAAGGCGCGAAGGGTGCTGGCTTCCTTCTCTGATTGGACTCCGGATCGCAACTGAACCATTGTTTTTCAGGAAACTAATATTCGCGTTCCCATAGACGGCACCAGCTGATGATGCAAGATTCGGTCACGACTCAGAACGAAGTCGTTACCTGCAGAGAAGAGAAAGTGTCGTCGAAAAAGGCACCGGTACGGTACCGGCCTAAGAGTCTCCGACAATCAAGTTAGTACAAGACCAAAAAGATCAATGGACTCTGTTAGGGATAATGTTTGCGTACCTTTTGAATTGGCTGATTACCCTTTTTATAGAATAGATTATAGAATTTGATAAGGGAATTAATCTCCTTATTTCAGTACAATATAGATCTGAAGAACTTATCCATATCCATATCGCTTCATAACTGTAGCTTATCTGACTTCTTGGCTTCCATGCCTGTTAGAAGTTGTGTATTCGTGTTGGATTGTAGAGACCGTATCATCAATTATGAATACAGATAAATTCATATCTCATATGCACATGCCTATTACCGCATGTACACATAAATTTATCCTATTATAACTAATGAACTACGTACTCCGATGTAACCAACACAATATTATCAATATTATATGAAGATTAATAAATCAGAATATATAATAAATGTCATTAATTACTTTGTAAAGCATATAATTAACCCCACGCCACCAACCACCGTGGGAGCCATCGTTACCACCACCACCACCTATGTTATATTCCATGAACAGTGAAAGGATTCACTGGTGGGTTTTGCTGGACTGACTAGGTGTCGGACTGTTGGGGGAATAGTCAAATAATCAATCGCTAGTTTTGTCGGATTTAATTGGTCAAAAAATCGAAGCTCTGCCACACAAATGTGCCATCACCGTACCAAATTTCCTCAATCCATTTGCTTGCGATTGTGATGGGAATTTGGAAGCAAAGGCAATCGAGCTCTTTTCTGGTTGTCAATTCTAGCAATTCGTTGTCTGAGATCTTCCTCGAGCCAACATATTTTTTGAATTTGGAAGTTAGCAGAACTCAGAAGACCGATGGATCACAGTCGACCCAATAGGAGACGCATTCTGAAGCAGTGAAAAAGATCAATATCAGTATCTACTTTGCGACATGGTGGGCTTTGGATGTCATCTTTAACAAGATATATGTATATGTTCTATACAGAGATGTGGGAATCAAATGGGTTTAATAGATGGCACTAGAGGTGATACACTCTCATTACTGAGTACACAATCAAGGTTCATGGGAGAACCCCAAGTCGTTCAGCGCACCCATATCAAATGGATATAAATTACAGCTAACCCGGAATGTTGCTTTTGAAAGGGACGAAGGTATTTTGGTAATTTAATATTATGGTATGTATCACATTAACAAATTCAGTTATTGACCCTTAAAAAGGAGGTCTGTTTAATAACATTCTATTTTTAAGGACGGTTTGACTAATTTTTAAAATCATAGAATAGATTCTTATAATTATGACAAATCATAATGGAGATATATGTAATTAATTCTAAAATATATTATATTTTTATTTATTAAAACAATTTGAATAAAATTTTATCATTATTAAAAATATACTAACTATTTTGAAAATAAAAAGATCCAATTGCTAATAAAAATATTTTAGACATGTTTAAATAGTAAAATAATTTTATTTTATTTTATTTATTTTTTATTATTTTTTTTACCTTAACGCCATCATCTCTTTATATATATATATATATATAAATGAATATCCAAGGGAAGAAAAAAATATAGACTCTCTCCTATTGCTAAGATAACAATCAAAACATTACATAAAGTAAAAAGGGAAAATTCAATAAATGACTAGTTTAGAGTCTATAATTACAAATACAATGTATATGGTAAAAGAATTACGTATGAAAATTACTAAACAAAACTAATTACAAATATGATAATTTGTACTATATTTGACGAATATTTATACATTTAGGACCAAATTATCTAAATAAAAAATCCTAGTTAATAATTAGTTTTTTTGGTTTAGGAAATTTGGTCCTAAATGTATAAATATTCGTCAAATGCAATATAAATTATTGTATTTATAATTAGTTTTGTTTAGTAATTCTTATAAGTATTTTTTTAATCGCTTACGTGTATTTGTAATTATGGACTCTAAACTAGTCATTTATTAAATTTTCCCATTTCAAAAAACAAGAAAGAAACTTAAGTTTGGAGTAATGACGATAATATTAATACCGTTAACTAATAACACGGATTAGGAGTTGGGGGACTGGGCACGCTCAGGCGTGAAGGAAACTCAAAAAGAAAAGGCGCAAGAAGTTTCACAAGTATACACGCGGCGTCAACGCATTAACACTACCAACGTGTCCAAAGCAGTTGAAATAATATATACACCCAGTTTCATTGCATTACCTACACGCGCACATCATTGCCTCGAATCGATTGACACGCACCCTACATTTCGTAGAATACGTATGCCGAATGGGGTGGGTGTGATACACGCTCTCTATTGAAGCGTGAATTTGGAGGACTGACTATTAGTTACATTACAACCAGTAGAACGAATCCGAGATAAAAAGCCTCGTATTCTCTCTCCCGTAATCGTATTGACTCGTCTCCTCTTCATATTATTATACTACTAGGAAATTTTCTCTCTGACCAGAGCAGTCTCAGAAAAACCCTAGCATCACAATGGCAGACCCGCCGTTGGTCGCCGGTACGATCTCTCCAAACCACACCACTACCTCCGACTTCAACGCGCTACCAATTCCACCTCTCGATCCAACCATTTTCTCCGAAGACCTCATTTTACCCGACGATCACTTCCTCCAAGACTTCGACATCGATTACGACCTTGACTTCACCTTCGATGATCATCTTTACCAAGACTTTCTAACCACTTTACCCTCTTCAGTTGAACCGTCCGCCTCCCCCGATATCTCCACCCTTCCCAGCGACGCCTTTCCTAGGGTTTCCAATAATCAGTCCGCTACCCTCAATCCTGGCCATCCAGTTTCTGCGGATCCCACCTTCAATCTTTCTAATTCTCCGTCGTCAGGATTTTCTCAGGATCACTGCTCCGATGTTTCTAGGTTCTTGAACGTTCCATCGCCTGAATCCGGTGGATTCAATCTCGAATCTTCGCATGAATCCGACAATAAGTGCTTGAATGCCGCCGCCGCTGCTAGGGTTTTGGATTACCCCTCACCCGACTCTGAAATTCGCAACGACCAAATTTCTGGGCCTGCATCGTCTCAGGGTTCTGGCAATTGCGGTTCTGCTGTTTTGGATACTCATAATTATCCGTCACCTGACTCGGGTAACTCTTCTCGATCTCTACCTTCTTCTCTCGATTGCGCAAATAATTCTCTCGATGGTGACGGTGCTGAGGATCAGAAGATTAAATTGGAGGAGTTGGGCAACAATTTCTTGTTAAAAAGAAAGAAAGAGAATGAAGATGTGAATTCTGTACCAAGGACGAGTAAGTATAGGAGGTCGAATGGTGTAGACAATGCCAATCCTCCACCCTTGTGTGGTTTCGATGATACGACAAACGAAGAGGAGGAGAAGAAGAAGGCGAGGTTGATGAGGAACAGGGAAAGCGCACAACTCTCTAGGCAGAGAAAGAAGCATTATGTTGAGGAGCTTGAGGATAAGGTGAGAACAATGCATTCCACAATTCAAGATTTGAATTCCAAGATTTCATATATAATGGCTGAAAATGCGAGTTTGCGGCAACAATTGAGTGGTGGTGCCATGTGCCCTCCTCCCACAGTGCCGCATCCAGGCATGTACCCTCACCCTCCGCCCATGGGTTATCCATGGATGCCCTGTCCTCCTTATGTCGTCAAATCACAAGGGTCTCAGGTTCCTTTGGTTCCAATTCCTAGATTGAAACCGCAGCAACCTGCCCAAGCACCCAAGGCTAGGAAGGCCGAGACTAAAAGGACCACTGAGGGCAAAACCAAGAAGGTCGCAAGTGTGAGTTTTCTAGGTTTGTTGTTTTTTATCATGCTTTTTGGTGGGCTAGTTCCAATGGTAAATGTTAAATATGGAGGAATGAGGGATGATGTTACCGGTGAAAGAAATCATATTGGTAATAAATTTAATGACCAGCACCCCGGGAGGGTTTTGACGGTTAATGCCCATCTGAATGGAACTGACCAGAACATAGGAATAGGTTTATCTAATGGGAAATTTGGTGCTGGAAAAGATTTAACTAATACTATCCACCGTGGTGGAAGCCACATTGGAGGAGCCGAGTCAAATATTGAGCCAAAAGGACGAGGATCACACCCTTTGTCTGGTTCAGATGAATTTGGTCACATGCACAATGCAAGTGAGCCTCTTATTGCTTCTTTGTATGTCCCGAGAAATGATAAGCTTGTGAAAATTGATGGCAACTTGATTATTCATTCTGTTCTGGCGAGTGAGAAAGCCATGGCATCTCGTGAAACTCCCGAGACGAAGAGCAGAGAGACTGGTTTGGCAGTTCCAAGGAATTTGTCTCCAGCTATCCCTCTCTCTGGAAGGAATAGTGGAAGACATCCCCGCCTATACAGAAATCCAACAGAGCGTCAAAGGGCTATTGCTTCTGGTGCTGCAGAAAAGGACAATTTGAAGTCAAAATCTGCGGATGGTAAATTGCAGCAGTGGTTCCGTGAAGGCCTTGCTGGTAATGATTGACCTATCACATTGTCAGTTATGTACTTCTTTCCATTTATTTTTTGATTTTTCATCATTGTCACCACCACCACCGCCATGATGTTGGCTGCATGAATTCTCTGTCTTCATTCTTTTCAATTACATGCCATTTCACCTACTATGTTTAACTCTTTAAAGTCGTTTCTAATAACTGCATCTGCATCCCATGTTTCTTTGGTTCGCTCTCCCTATCCCTTGTTTTCTATGAAACTAATCTTCCTCTTCTTGCTGGTGCATCCATAGGTCTCTGTTGTATGTGACCAAACCATCTAAGTCTACTATCTCTTTTTTTCTCGTTGATGGGTGCCACTCCTAATTTTTCTTTCACTTTCATTAGTGAACTTAACTCTTCTAGTCTATCCAACCATCCATCTTAGCATTATTTTTATTTCTCTTTTAAAGCCCAACACTATGCTCTATCTTAGCATTCTCTCTTATTTAGATTTTCTTAGTGGGATAATTGTGTGCAGTTGATATGTTAGTAATCAAGTACCACTTTGGGTTCAAGTCATTCACCCTTTTTTCTATTTAGCTCAATCTAGGGCCATATCCTTTGTTAAAATAGTAGGTCATAATGTCTTTTCTACTTTTACCAACACACATATTTTTGGTTTTGTGTCCTTGCAGCGCCATAAAATTGAGCTAAATCACTTCTAGAGTGTTATTTTCATTTCTCGATATTCATGGTGTAGTGTCGTTAAGAATCAAATTTGCTACCACCTCAGTTGCACTACACTCTTACCACTTTCCAAATGTATCATTGGAAATAGTAGAAAATCTATATTTATCCTGACACCTTCACCACAGCTTTTCTACCAGCCATGTTTCTATGTTATGCCCCAGCAAGAGTAGGGATCAGGCCGAGTATCATGTGATGCTGCTTGGGGGATTTGTTGGAAGATTCTCTAACTCATATAAGATTAATTATTTTGTGGATGAAAATCGCCCGTTTCTTCTACTTAAAAGCACTTATACGGGGCTTGCAAAACTTGAATTTCCTTCACATGAACCTCTATGTTACTTGAAAGTTGAAACCCCGGTGCACAACTTATATGTGTCTTTATTAGTTATAAATATTTTGGCCAGTTAAGTTTGTCATTGTAACATATTTTTTTTATATATTTGTGTTGTCACCTTCGTATATCATCATAACTGCCTCTACTATGAGTCATTTAGTAAATAAATAAAAATAAAGATATGTATACATAACATACATATGTGGTGGATATTCATTTAATAATTTTTTTTTCTTTTTTTGTGTTCTTCAACAATAAAATTAATTTTATCGTTATCTATTACAGAAACAAAATGATCATCTCTTGACTCAATTGAAAGGCAAATCAATTTGAATTCCATGATATTAGCAGAGAAAAATCACTAGTATAGTAGCATGCAGGCTCCAAATAATTTTGGGTTTTTAGTGTGGGTTCCTTAGTTGTTGAGGGTGGTGCAGAAGGGACTTTTATAGACACATTTTTCGGGTTAAGTATTATAGCCATTTACCTGGTCCAAATTAGTAGGAAATTAGTACAAAAGTTTTAATCTGTTGAACACTCAAGTAGCTGTGGGACCTTTAGTTTTGATACACATCCGTCTCCCACCCAAGTGGCCTCTTATGTGAGAATGGAAGAATATGCCCTGTCAACCATGTGTGTTAGGGTAAGGTGACTTGCTTGGATGTCACGTATAGCTGAGAAGTTGTGCACCTGATAAAAAATTGTGCTTATAGTAGGATTTATGTGTCTATTTGGTAATTAGTGACTTGGTCAAACTCCCGACTGTAGCAGTCCTAAATTAAGAATTCATTGTCAAAGTTTCTCTGCGCCATTCTTTCTGAAGAGAACAACATATTACTGTTTCACATGTACGTAGATGAAGCTATACCTTGAACTTAAAAGTACTTTGGAAACCCTTTTTTCGTTGTTTTTGTACAATGACATTTTAATTCTAGGTTGATGTTATTTCAGAGTCAGGTTTTAGATCCGTGAATTCTCACTTATTTATAATGTCAATAAAGAATCGTGACCTAAAATAACAACAGAATGTGGCATTTCTGCTGTGTTTATCAAAGGAACTTCAATGTTGTATACTATGTAGCATATATCTGAAGGCTGGGTTGATGGTGAATTTTTTTCTACAGTAATTAATTATCAATTTTCAGTACTGTGCAATTTCTTTCCAAGTATGCAATATGGTACTTGTTGAACTAAGATATTTGACTTTTGGTGGCAATGGTTGTGATGGATTCAGTACAATTGAGCAGCACTTACATACGTTATGCTTGTTTGCCTTCTTTTATGCAGGTCCAATGTTACGATCTGGCATGTGCACTGAAGTTTTCCAGTTTGATGTCTCACCAGCGTCTGCTCCGGGAGCCATAATTCCAGCGACCTCAGTTAGGAATATTTCTATGGATCTCCATCGGAATTCAACGCAACTGAATAAAGGGAGGAATAGGAGGATTCTCCATGGTCTTCCAATTCCACTTCCTGGATCGGTCAATATTACTAAAGAACACGTGGGAAGGAATTCAGAGAAAGACAACTTTCAGGGAAATGATTCTCTCTCTTCAATGGTTGTATCAGTGCTTGTTGATCCGAGGGAGGCTGGTGACAGCGATGGTGATGGGATGATGGGACCAAAGTCCCTCTCTCGGATTTTTGTTGTTGTGCTTTTAGACAGTGTTAAGTATGTCACTTATTCATGCATGCTTCCGCTAAAGGGAACTGGTCCTCATCTAGTTACTACTTGAGGATATGGGAGAAGGGTCAAGGATTGATGGAGAAGTAAAAACAATATGCATCTGCAGATCCAGTTTTGTAAATAGCGAAAATCTGTGTGGCTCTTACAACTTCAGCACCATCTTCATGCACTAAATTCAGTTTACCTTTATTTAACGAATGTTTGCATATGGATGAATTATATTTTTATGTAGTACTTCTAATCTTTGGTGACAATGCAGAAGCATAGACCTTCAGTCAGTCCTTCCACTTTAATGTGTTTTAACTTTTTACATAATAGGGAGTGCGTGTTGAATTCTCCACATGGATTCTGATTAGAGTATTAGTAAGTAGCCCAAATTTCTGTATATGGTTTCTTGTTGATCATGAAATTCCAATGTGGTGAGAGACGATTTATGAAAAATCAAGTGTAGACTAGGCAAGTTTTGTACTGAAAAGATGTTCATATCTTGATTACCAATTTACCAGTAGTAGTAGTAGGTGGTGTATTGATTGTTGCAAAAAAAGGAGTTCTCCCCGCTCTACGAGTCTGTCTAATGAAGATAGCTTGGGTAAAGATATTAGGTTCAAAGTTGTACTTGGTTCTAAATTTATAATGGGAGTGAGTGGATGTCGAGGACGAATGGATTACAGGCGTAACTGCCTAGCCTCTTCCATTCCAATCAATCATGAGCACACACTCTCTCTCTCGCTCTGGGTTTCAAAATTTTGCCGGGAACTTAGTTAAGAGGATGATTGGGATGACCCCCAGCCCTAGAGAGAGAGGAGAGGAGGGAGTGGACAGCATACAGGGAGCATACTGCAGAGCAAATGAATTGGAATTGGCGAGGTTTTCAATTTCAAATCCAGTTGAGTTTGCTTGAGATACACATAAATTAAGGGTTTATTGACCAGATCATCACGATCAATAAACTTTTGATTAATTTTATTATTTATTTATTATTATTATTAATCAACTCTATTAGCTAGTTGGATGAGAGTAAAAAGTTTTAGATAGCAAACCCCATTGTTACTCGTACTGAAAAGAAACAAACAAACAAAAATGCATCATTCTACAAATTAAGTGGTCTTACTAAAACCCTGGAATATAGTGATCTTCGAAGGCAAATTTGATCAATTAATTAAGTAATACTAATAAAAAAGATGGGTTGAAAGAAATTGGCATAGCCAAGTCAGGAGAATGTTTGTATTTGTGGCGTACGTGTTTGGCTTTACTTACTTTTATTATTGTGGGTATGGGCTTGGCTTGAACCGCACACCCTGGCCTGGCCTCGGTTTGCCCGCACACCCCCGATAATAATAATAATAATAATAATATTAATAATATGGAGGAGTAATTAATTAAAGAGAAATAAATATACAATATAACATAAATTACATCGAAAAAGATTGATTGATTGTTAGCAGAGGGAGAGAGGGAGTAATAATGATAATAGTTAAACAAACAGCGGCAGAAGAAAGGAAAGAAAGAGAAAACCCAAGAAAGTGAGGGCAGAGATTTTTGAAGAATTTCCTCGCTGAAGAAAAACGAGAGAAGAGATTCTTCGGAATAGTCAGTCCCTGGATTTCGACAAAGTTTACGATTTCTCTTTCTGTGTCTGTCTCTCTCTCTTTCGTGCAAACTCTTCTGGTATCTGTTAGTGCACCGTACGTGAGGTGAGCCTATCTCACAATCCAAATGTCAATAATCTTTTCACTTCTTTGTTTCTTGCAATATCCACATCTGTATAGGATTCGTACACTGTTTGCTTTGATCTTCTGATTTCCCATCTTCTTTCTCATATTTCTCATCAAACCCCTCATTTTATTTGCGTATATGAATGATATTAATGTCCTTCCTCTTTGAAATGATTTCTTTGCTGCACTCAGTGATCGCCACCCAATTAATCAAGCCCTCTTTTTTAATTTCTTTTCTAATCTCATCTCAATCAAGGGTTACTAATTTCCATTTCTCTTTCTTTCTACTTTTTCATAATTTGACATTCAGTTCCTCTGCCAAAACTTCAAATCTGTAGATGACATTTAAATATAGCTAACTTGGTTAAATTTCATATATTACATATTTTTTCCCCCTTTCTTTTGAAAAGCTTAACTTTCTTAAAACATCTTTCCAAAATGAATCCCTCCCCCCCAACTTCCTTCTCTAGTGGATTCTCAATGTTTTCTCATTATTATTTTACTATTGTTTTGAGGAACTCATTCATACCCTTGCTTGCTGTTGACTAATATTTGTTATACCTTAATGGTTAAACAAATCCATTTGGAATTTGAAGGTTTTTTTCCCCAATTACACTCCACATTTTCACTTTTGGCTTAGGATTAGACAATATAAAAGATACTGGTGTTTCCAAATTTATTCTTTAATATTATGAAGTAACATGATTTCCCATTGTTCAGGTTTGGTTGGGACCATGAATGCAAAACCCAAGAGGAGAACTGTAACAGATAATGGTGATGCAGGCGAGGACTTGGTCCTTGTTACTTTGATCAGGAATGGGGAGGATTTGGGGCCAATGGTCAGGCATGCTTTTGAAACGGGACGCCCTGAGGCCCTTCTCCAGCAGCTTAAAACTGTTGTGAAGAAGAAGGAAGTTGAAATTGAGGATCTTTGCAAACTCCACTATGAGGAATTTATTCATGCTGTTGATGAGCTCCGTGGCGTCCTGGTTGATGCTGAAGAGCTGAAAGGTGAGCTCTCAAGTGATAATTTTAGGTTGCAAGAGGTTGGAAGTTCTCTTCTATTCAAAGTTGAGGAACTCCTTGAATCTTATTCGATCAAGAAGAATGTTACTGAAGCCATTAAAATGTCGAGGAACTGTGTTCAAGTATTGGATCTCTGTGTAAAGTGTAACAATCACATTTCCGATGGCCGGTTTTACCCTGCTCTGAAAACTGTTGATCTGATAGAGAAAAACTATCTGCAGAATATTCCTGTGAGGGCACTTAGGATGCTGATGGAGAAGAGAATACCGATAATAAAATCACATATCGAGAAGAAGGTTACTAGTCAAGTTAATGAATGGTTGGTTCACATAAGGAGCATTGCAAAGGATATTGGACAAACGGCAATAGGGCATGCTGCGTCTGCCCGTCAGAGGGATGAGGATATGCTAGCTCGTCAGAGGAAAGCGGAGGAACAGAGTTGTTCTGGTTTAGGAGATTTTACTTATGCTTTAGATGTTGAAGAAATTGATGAAGAATCTGTTCTGAAGTTTGATCTTACGCCTCTTTATCGGGCATATCACATCCACACTTGCCTTGGCATTCAAGATCAGTTTCGTGAATACTACTACAAAAATCGGTTATTGCAACTAAGTTCGGACTTGCAAATCTCTTCGGCACAACCATTTCTTGAATCCCATCAGACGTTTCTGGCTCAAATTGCAGGTTATTTTATAGTGGAGGATCGAGTCCTAAGGACTGCTGGTGGACTATTGTTGGCTAATCAGGTTGAGACAATGTGGGAAACAGCTGTAGCTAAAGTTACATCGGTGATGGAGGAGCAATTTTCCCACATGGATACTGCTAGCCATCTTCTCCTGGTCAAGGATTATGTGACTCTTCTTGGGGCAACCCTTAGGCAATATGGTTATGAAGTGGGCCCTATTCTTGAGACTCTCAACAGTAGTCGTGAAAAATACCATGAGCTTCTTCTGGCAGAATGTCGGCAACAAATTACTGATGTCCTTGCCAAGGACACGTGTGAACAAATGGTAATAAAAAAGGAGTTGGACTACCAGACAAATGTCTTGTCATTTCATCTTCAGACCTCAGATATAATGCCGGCATTTCCTTATATTGCGCCATTCTCTTCCATGGTACCTGATTGCTGCCGCATTGTTAGATCATTCATCAAGGACTCAGTCAATTACTTGTCTTATGGAGGCCAAATGAACTTTTTCGATTTTGTGAAGAAGTATTTGGACAAACTCTTGATTGATGTATTAAATGAAGTAATACTTAACACAATTTATAGTGGTACCACTGGTGTGTCTCAGGCAATGCAGATTGCTGCAAATGTAGCTGTTCTTGAAAGAGCTTGTGATTTTTTTCTTCAACATGCCGCCCAACAATGTGGAATCCCAATTCGATCAGTTGAGAGGCCTCAAGCTAGTTTAACAGCCAAGGTAGTTCTTAAAACTTCAAGGGATGCAGCTTATCTTGCTCTACTAAGTTTGGTGAACTCCAAGTTAGATGAGTTTATGTCCCTTCCAGAAAATGTAAATTGGACTTCAGATGATTCATTGCAGAATGGAAATGAGTATGTAAATGAGGTGGTTATTTACCTTGACACTCTTATGTCCACAGCTCAGCAAATTTTACCCCTGGATGCCTTGTATAAGGTTGGGAGCGGTGCTCTTGAGCATATTTCCAACTCTATTGTTGCAACTTTTCTTAGTGATAATGTAAAAAGGTTCAATGCTAATGCAGTTATGGGCATCAATCATGATTTGAAGACGTTAGAGTCTTTTTCAGATGAGAGGTTTCATAGTACTGGATTAAGTGAGATATACAAGGAAGGGAGTTTTCGAGGCTGCTTTATAGAAGTAAGACAATTGATAAACCTTCTGTTAAGCAGTCAGCCTGAGAATTTCATGAATCCTGTGATAAGGGAGAAAAACTACAATACTTTGGACTATAAAAAGGTGGCTACTATCTGTGAGAAGTTCAAGGATTCCCCTGATGGCCTTTTTGGAAGCCTTTCAAACAGAAATACAAAGACAAATTCTCGTAAGAAGTCAATGGATGTGTTAAAAAGAAGGCTAAGGGATTTCAACTGAAGGGGCTTGAAGACCTTTTTGGAGTAGATGTAGCTGAACTTTTCTTTTTCTTTTTTACTGTTTAGAATGAAATGGAATTTTAAATATTCATGCTGAATTATTTTCTTAAAATAAAAGTTCTCACTTTGCTTTGTCTTATTTGTTGATTATTTTTTTATTTTTTCCTGGTTAAAGTTCTTTACTTACGTGTTTTAAGCTTTATTTCCTCTAATGATAATGAATCACATCGATGTAGGGGAGCAGAAAAGCTTGTCAGAGCTTTATATGCTCAAGTTTTTTTTTCCTGTTAAAGGAGTGGTGGATTTAGAAGCTCAATAGAGGGTGCTAATGGCTGCTAAACACTTCCAGAGCACGATTTGGTACTTTGGTTCATTTCTAATTCAGTCATCTCTAAGCTATCTGTATATATTTCTGTTGTTACCTTATTTCATTGTTCTTTGGGCAATGAAGTTCTGGGGTTGGTTTGGAATCTTTTATTAGTTGATCAGAAAGGAATATCTTCACTTTTTGGCTGTTTTCTGAAGGCATTGCACTAACAATTGCTGCACTTGAACCCTGTTGCATTGGCATGATATCTTATAAAATACTGTTACCTTGTTCATGCTCTGTACTGCAGTTTATCTTTCCTTCTTAATTTAAATGGTATTGGAATCACAACTGAAGTTATTAGTCATTCTTTCTCTATTATTTACTCTATAGTTACAACTGAAGTTATTACTCATTTTTTCTCTATTATTTGTTTTATACTTACTGATGGTCTGGTTTCTACTATTATTTGTTTATACTCACCGAGGGTTTAGTTTCTACAACTTGTTTTTTTCTTTGGCATTTTTCCAGGTACCATCTAATCATAAGACTAAATAGGAGACTGAATGGTTGGAGTTGGTATGAGATCAAATGTTGATATTTTTTATGGATTTCTGGATTTAGAGAAATAATGGTTCTAGATTATTGAGTGGAAGAGTGTCTAATTTTTATATAACAGTGAGTGTTATATGTGCTGGCTTTTTCTATATTGCGGTTATGAATGGGAATCTTTTGTTGATTGAACTCTGCTGATTGCATCTTTTGTTGATTGGTGGAAGCTTTTAGACTCACATACTGTTCGGTTGAGATTGAGGATTAAACGAGATCTGTCACAACTATTGACAATTTATTATTTTGAACAGGTCCATTTCTTTATTTTTTAAAAACTGTTTTAGGGTCCTCACACTCTGTTCTGCTTTTCTTTTAGGGTCTTTACACTTTGTACAGCTTTTTGATTATTTTTTATTTTTCATTATGTGTGAAATGTATTTTTGGTTATTTATTAACCAAACTGATATTAGGTCTACGAAATAGCTGCAAATTTTTTCAATAATATATATTTTTTCATGTCATTATTGGATGGAAAGTTTTTCCTTCCTTTTGTTTTCCCTTCTATTTCAATTGAGTGGAAATTATCTGAACTATTGTTGCCCATTTTACTATCCATATCTCTGCAGTTGTCCTGGAAGGCATATTTTTTTTTTTTTTTCCTTTCAAGTTGTTTTTTATTAGTAAAATTCATGGTACAGCACCAAAAATTGGTGGTACAAGTCATGAAATACAAGATCTCCAAGATTGACTATACAAGGACAAACTATACAACAAATTTAAAAAAGAACATGAAGAATTGAGCCACCAAAGGCTTTATACCCTATTTGATGAAATGCCTTTTGTGGTTTGAATGAATTAGTTGATAAAGTGTTAATTTGATCCTCGGAACAATTTTTTTTAACCTGCACCCATACTACAAGCTACCAGAAAGAGGGAAAATATCATCAAAGAAGAAAACTCTGGAATTTAGTGACATCTTGAAAATAATATTTGTTATGGTTTAAATTCTCGATTCTTCATTTATCTAGATTGTTTAAAAATATTGTGCAATTATTTAATTTCCAAAAAAATGTGTGTGTGATTAAATTTTTGATTTTGCAAGGTTGATAGTCGGTTAGGACATCTTTCATGCCAAGAGGAAAATTATGGAAACTTGAGGACTCAGACGAAGACACACCCAGGATGGTATTGGTAACTTGCTTCTGGTTAAATTACTCTTTACCTGAATTTTATTTATGTTATACTGAATGTTGAATTAGATAAGGAGAGACCTGAGACTGCAACAAAAACCATTATCTTTTTAACTTTTTGCAAGTAAAACCTCGATCTTTGGCTATAAAGGAAAAATAAACTGCACCTCCAAAGAAAGAAAAATGTGATATGCTTGTTTTTTGCTGGGTTTATTATATGAAAATGATTTACTTTAATGCTATAAATTAGAATGTCCCAGTATATCATTGTTTTCCTAATTTTTAGATATATGATACAAGACCTGCAGGAAAAAACAGGTTTTGGAGATGTATGGTTTGTCATATAATATGGTTTTCTGAATGATATTATTTTAATTTTTCCTTTCTGCATAAATTGGCATATCACTATAATAGATATTGCTAGTGAGCCAGTAATACACTAATACTTTAAGTTGAAAGCAATATGATAATCAAATGGAATAATTATGTCATTGTTGTTGATGGCATCTCCAAACAGGCATAAAAAGTTGTGTTTTAAAATTCAAAACTATTTTCCTTCAATGCAATCCATGTATTTGCTTATTTATACAATGTAAGAAAATAAAGAATTTTGAATCTTGATATTTGTATCATGTTAGTTGTTTTAGCATTTCTGTTACCAGACACCCACAAAAACATATCCTTGACTCAAATTTGCCTAATGAGCACAATCCAAAATATGCTTTGCAAACAAAAAGATCCAGAAAATTCAAAAAAAAATTTCTTGCCCTTAAATTTATTCAAAAACTGTACAGATGCTAGGTATTTATGCATTTTTTGCATATATGTTCTGATTCCTACTCGTCTTGGTTCTCGCTCTCTCTGGAGTGGTCGTTTGGGTGAATATTTTGAATCAATTGTTAGTGTGTTATTCACCTTCCACATTTTTATTATTTAACAAACCATAAATTTATATGAAGACTTCCAATTATTTGCTTTTGAATTTACTTAATATTTACCATTTCCATGCTGTTCCTTTTGATCTTTGTGAATCTTTTAGCAATAACATTATATCCCTTACAAAGGAAAAGAAAGGAGGGAGAGCTTACCAGTGTTTGCTTTAAAAATTGAGGGGGGAAAGAAGGGAAGGAGGAGGGATGGCCCAACCTTTGACCATCCTATCTAAAATGGGAGGATTTGGAAGGAAATGATACGTTTCACCCCTTTTCTTCAGAACAAGTGAAATTATGTTTTGTCTTCACCTCGCTATTTTATTTTACCTTACACAATGAAAAGAACCACTGTCATTTCCTTTCTTTTCCATTCTTGGTTATCTAAATACCAGGAAAGGTTAACACTGGCCTCTCCATTCCTTTCTTTTCTATTTTCCTTTCATTTCTTTCCATGCCACATATTGGAATGCACTACTAATAGATTCACCAATATATCCAAATCCTGAAATATAATATCCCAATAACCACTTTATGAGCCTTAGTTCTAATGCCATGGGATTAAGGAAAGGATGATGATTGGTTGTCATAATACCATAAATTTTTCTCAGGGGATGGAAAAGGGTTTTAGCTAGTGTTGGTCTAGTCATTTTGGGTAAATAAGATGGGTGATCGGATAAAAACCTAATTATTGGGTTTATTCACATGAAAGTGTTGGGTCAGTGAAAACACATGAACACCGAGATCCAGTGAAAGCTAACAAAGCAATCACTCACAAACACAAGATATAACGTGGTTTGACCAAAACTGGTCTATATCCACGGATGAAAAGAGATTCCACTATGATTTTCGTAGAGATGTTACAACAGAAAAATACCAACACCGCGTACATGTCTTTTCACCATCTATCACTCCACGAGCCTATCTCCTCGCCGCCAGTGCCACCGGTATTTTTCCTACTCTACCATCCCATAAACTATCTCTACCCATCAACTCCTAGACTACATCTCTCTCAATATCATAAGTCTCAACCATAACCTATGTGTCTATTTATAGAGTTCAAACCCAAATTCCTTGTTGCACAAGGATTACAATTCCTTAGAGTCCCATACTTGCCAACCAAGAAATTACCTAATAGAGTATAACTCTAAAATATAAACCTAATTAGAATAGAAATTTAACACAATCCTAACAAAAAGTTTGCTTTCGGACTTGAACACCCTTTCTTTCTTCCATTTTATTTATGGAACTCTATTATTTTTCTATATTTATTAATGCATACTTCCATTCATAGTAATAAATGGAGTCCTTGGAATTGTAAAATGTGGATCAGATGAGGTGGCCATGGAGCCAGCTCTATGCCTCATCATTGGAAGGATGGTTGGTTTTGGCCTGTGTTTGAGTTGTGTTCACTAATCATGAAGAGTAGATAACTGATTTGAGAGGATTGGATCTCCCTTTGTCATGCCATGGTCAACATCCATCAAAAAATTATTATTAAGTTCACGATTAATTAATGTATTTATTTATTAATATTCATCAATTGTAAGCAAACTATTTTATTGTACATAATTTAACATGTGTGATTTTGATGCTATTGCCAAAGCAACACTGACTATTCCAAAGCATGTGCTACTGTGGATAGTTATACCAATTACTGCCACATTCATACAGTGCTTTGATAAATGAGAAATTGTTAGATGGTCTTGGACCATTTGACACTTGGTGGACCAGTTCAATCCAGATTGTTGTTTTCTGCGATGCGAATGGCTACCGAGCCGAAGTGGGACCAGAGGATTTGCCCTGTAGCTTGTGAGAACCTCGACTCTACTCTCCAAGCTCACTGCTCAACCAAACAGGAAAGTATCTTCTACTGGTACATGGACAACTGTGTGGACCGATGGACTTACTAGCCTTGAGATTTCTTTGTACTATAGTAATACACTCTTGTGGGGCCATTTTCTCAATCAGAGAGTTTGAATTGAATTAGTCCACCAAGTGTCAATGGTCCAGGACCATCTAATAATTTCTCTGGATAAATGCTAAAACTGTTTTGGCATTGGGGTTGTAACTTGGACTGGTTAACTTTTAACCTAACCTGATTTTCTTTTAATATAGGCAGTTTTTTATTTTTTATTTTTATTTTTTTAAATGGTTGTCA